AACCGCACCGCCCCATATTAACACATTTCTTTTGTCCATTTGAAGTAGATCTGACTCAAAACACTCTGTTTTAATGTAGATAGTGGGTTTATCATAGTTTACCATGTGACCAGTGACATGTTAGTGCCATGAACCAACTCAGACTCTGAGGAGCACCGGGACTGGCCTCCTTCTGGTGCCCAGAGCCAGAACTAAACATGGGGAGGCTGCATTTCAGATTTATACAGCTAAATTCTGGAACACTCTTCCTGAAAATGTAAGAAAGACTTCTCTCTGACTATATCCATTCCACGTTAAAAGTTGTATAGGTTCAACTGAAGGCTTGTGTGAATGTACTGTGAATATTTATCATTTGAATGCCTTATTTGACTTAAATGTCTTTTCTATTTTTGTTAAGCACTGTAGAGTTGCCTTGTGGATGCGCTATCCAAATAAACTTGCCTTAAAGGAATAGTTCACCGTTTTTACATACTGACATATGTTCTTACCTTACCTTAGACTAGTTAATACGTACCTGTGTGATCTTAGTCCGTGCGCTCTGTTATGCAAACGGAGCAAAAACGGGAGGACAAATGCAGCCTCCTCTGGTCACTGTGTAGCACCAAAAGGTAGCTCCCGCTAGAAGCTACCAAACTCTTCCAAGTGTTCCCTATTAAATGTATATAGTTACGTGACGTGTTACACTGCAAAGTATAGTAACACAGAAATGTAACTGTCGATTTTCTCAGCGGATAAAACGGGTACTATATTGTGAGGCGTAGTAATCTGAGGTGCGCTACGTCCGCGCACTAACTTCTCTCCGGAGACTTCTCTCTCGCTCACTTCCGTCAATAGAAGCAGCGTGACTTGTAGTACGGAGAGAAGTTAGTGCGCGGACGTAGCGCACCTCAGATTACTACGCCTCACAATATAGTACCCGTTTTATCCGCTGAGAAAATCGACAGTTACATTTCTGTGTTACTATACTTTGCAGTGTAACACGTCACGTAACTATATACATTTAATAGGGAACACTTGGAAGAGTTTGGTAGCTTCTAGCGGGAGCTACCTTTTGGTGCTACACAGTGACCAGAGGAGGCTGCATTTGTCCTCCCGTTTTTGCTCCGTTTGCATAACAGAGCGCACGGACTAAGATCACACAGGTACGTATTAACTAGTCTAAGGTAAGGTAAGAACATATGTCAGTATGTAAAAACGGTGAACTATTCCTTTAAATCGCCTAAAAAGCGAGTGTATACAACCTGTTTAACCAGTTCTGATTACTGCATCTTCTCTTTGACATTATATTAGGGATTACATCAATCCCATTCAATCTGGTTGAAATCCTGCAGACCCACCGTGCCTTGGCTTCAGGATTAAGACCCAATTCTTTACATTATTCCACTTCTTGTCTCTTCGATTTAATTGATTTGTGTCTTTGAAGCTCCCGGCTCTCTCTCCAACCATCGCTCTTATCCCTTCTTCATCTCCACTCATCCATACGTTAGCTTTGGTCTTCCATGATTTGCACTGTTTTTTTGTTTTGTTTCCATGTGTATGTTTTATTTTAGTGTATTTGCATAATGGTCCTATTTTGAAGAACGTTACACTGAATTAGAAGAGCTTGTTTCCCCCCCTGTTGTTTCTTGTCAGCGCCTCTTGAAGAATTTGTCACCCTGGTTCACGTTTTTGCGGCCTGTTTGTTGGGTAGCGAAGACGTGTTTGATCAGACAGATCTTTTGAAGCATGGCCCAGTTGCTGTTTATAATTCAGATTTGCGTATATTCTTCCCATCGTGGAAAACATTGTGTTCTTTGGAGCAACAGGTTATTGCAATGATACAGTATGTGTTGTGTGTGTGTGTGTCGTTCATCACAGCAGGAGACTTCGCACTCTTGGGCTGGATAAAGCGTTAGATTGGTCAAGATTAGGGTTCTCATTTCAAGGATTTTTATTTCAGAAAAAACACATAAATAAAGAAACATTTCGATTAGAGGCTGTTTACACAACTGTATCTTCAAATGCGTCTCCAATTCTGTCCGATGATCTTTTGCATTTGATCCAGTTACTGTTGCGTAAGCGGCCCTAAACTGAGGATTACGCTTGGCTTCTCCTGCATATTCTACTTTACATTATAAAAGAAATGACAATCTATGTGTTTGAATATAGGAAATGTTGCTAACAAACAAGTAGTTTATTTTCACTTTGTCGTGTGCCTTTAAGAGCATTCTCCCTCACACGAGTCGACGACTGATGTTCTAATTAAAGGAGACAAATGCAAAATCGTCTCTGAGCTTTTAACCATAATGTTTCCTCATCTAAAACAGACCTGGAAAGGATTTCAGATCCATTAAGGCTAATATCTCAATATCTAGTGTCATTGTACCCCTACGTCATCACCCTTCGAGCAGTCTTTTAAAGAAAACATTTTGACTCTAAATTAATTTTGGAAAATTCTGGAGAAATGGCTTTCTTAAAAAACCGTGTGCCTCTGTAGCTTGTAATTTTTCAGCCTCATTTTAAAATGTGTAAAAAAATAACAAAATAAACTCAACTCCTCCCTCTGGTGATAGTTTAGGGAGGATGTGTTGTATCCTTTTTACATGCTTAACCATATAATTTCTATTTGAGATAGTATTTAATTTTGTAATGAGCAAAGTGAAGTTGTCCAAAATGGCCAAAATTAATGCATAATATTTCTCCTTTAAGGAGGACCTCGCATGCTGTGGTACATTAGTATCTTAACACTTGTATTCAGTTGGATACCAGATCAGCACAAGATGGATCTGTGTAGTGTAGGCGGAAAAGTGATCTACAGCCTGTCGTCGCTGCAGGTCAAGTTAGCAATCTGCATAAGGTTGTTTGGTTCTTTTTTACCAGACAATAGTTAGCGATGTTTTTACCTTGTCGTGTTTCGAAGGTAGACTTTCGTCTTCCTCAGACGCGTTCGTCAAAATATCTCAAGGTAATAACATCGCTAACTCACTCTTGTCTGGTATAGAAGAACCAAATATTTGTATTCTACTAAGAAGACAAGCTGAACCTTTCTAAACTAGCAACCCACACATTATTATCCCATCAATCAATACCGGTGCAATGCTGCCGAATCATCCGCCGACTGAAGATTCAGAAAAGAAAATCGAAAAGTAAAAACTGCGGCCACTGTGGTGAGTGGAGCCATAAATGTGTGTGTATGTGTGAATGACAAGTGTAACATAAAAAAATGTTGTTAGCTTCCCTTTAAATATCTGTAGCCTGTTTGAGTATCATTACCAAAAGCATTACATTTGTTTTGCAATTTTTCTGTAGCTGGTTATACATTTGATCTTATCTTCAGCCCGAGCAAACAGAACACTACAACTTATAACTTGGAATCCATTAGAGCCATAAACTGCTCGGCCAAAGTCTTTCTATGTTGTAAAAAGCTACCAACATTTCTTCTTTCTCACCTCCTGGTAGCTAATAAACATGCCTCCTGTCTCCCCCATTGTATGTGTTCGTGGGGCAAGTTATTAGCCGATCTAAAAGTACGATAATGGCTTTGCTGTGATTTAGCAATGAGCGCTGAGAGCATCTTAAACCACAGATCCCAACCGCAACCTGCCACTGTTGGAAATGTATAGTCCTTCTAAAACACTCTGGTAATCAAGGTTCGAGAGAAAGCTGTATTAATGAACACAAATTGTTAAACACAATCAATACAATATCATACGATGTGATTGGGCCCCAGGTTACTTGGTGCGGATAAAAGATGGACTCCCAAGAACAGGGGTCTCCAACCTGTGGCTCGGGAGCTACCAGCAGCTCACCGTCCACTATCAGATAGCTCACCAAATGATTTAAAATCTAAAACATGACCTGGAATGCATATATTTTGAGCCATTACTTATCTATTGGTGTAAATATAGGGTTATACTGTATTTTACATGTGTTCTCCATGTTTTGTCATAATTATTAGATAGATTTTTAGTACAACTGCAAAAGGTGGTAACTCTCTGCTTCTTCTTTTGTATAAAAGTAGCTCTCCAATATATGTAGAAAAAAAGGTTGGCGACCCCTGCCCTAGAACAAGAACCCCTTCTTTAAAAGACAAACTAAACTCTCTACTGCCAAAATATAATCAACACAATGTTAACTCGACTTTCAGATACAAAGGAATTGTACATTACAATGTATTTGTAGCATATTTGCATAAGGAATAAAGACAAAGCCTGCCCTGCACACTTACTCCAAATGCTTTGTGAAGGAACTATCATTTTTTGCATTTTTAACCACTTTAAAACAAGGTTCCATCATCAAAACTAGACAAACACTTCTCTTCTGTCTAAGTGCTCCTTTTCTAACTAATTATGCAATATCAAATTCTTTGACTGTGATGGTTTTTTTAACAACTATTAGCCTCTAATCAGACTATCCCATCTTGGATTCAAATGTAAATACAGAAGAATGTCCACTGTTTGATTCTCTGATCTGTGTTGGCGAATTGACAACTTTTGTTAAGTCCTCAAAGAAAACTACTGTTGTAACTTTGGGCTAAACTAAAATATGTTTAATTGATTTTAATTTAAAGTTATTTTGCGCTTGTGCCAGTGGTGGTAGTGGGTGAACTCTCGTCATCTCTTACTTTACTTTATTGGTCATTCTTATTCATATTGTTTCTATTGATTATTTCATAATGTTTCTAAATATTCTTAAGATCATGTTGAAAGACGACAAGTAATAATGCTTTAAAACAATTCTCCCCTTATTGGTACGGACATTGCAAATTTAGCCTTGGCTATAAACGCTGCAGTGTTTCACATGTTGATTGCGTACACTTGTGCCTATATCAAATAAATCAATAAATGAAATAACAATGCAAAAATAAATACTATAACTTGACAAAAATACATGAAGGAAACAGTTTTTTGGGCAAGTGTGCAGGGTTTGCCTTTATCCATACTTGTACATTCTTGGCTTGAACTGCAACGTGAGAATTACAGTATTGCATATTTTCCACTTAAGCAGTCAACGGTATCTCCCTAAGCTTCCTGCGTCCAGTCTTCTGCCACCCCGGAGCTCATCATCGGCTCCAGGAAAGCTACGTGTTTGTCGCTGTAGCCCTTCCCCTCCCTCATGGACGAGGTGAACACAGAGGACAAACTGCTGGGGTCGTAGGCGCCCGTCGAGGGGGGCTTGGGTTGCTTACAGCAGCTGCAGCGACAGGGGGTCAGATAGAGGTACACGAGGATCAGGACCATTGTGACCGCGCAGCCAAGAAGAGTCGTATATCCAGTGTTGAATGATTCCGGCGGGGGCAACAATACCGAGACATTCACCTCCCTCGTGGCGTTGACCCCTAGCTTAGCATCGAGAGCCGTGCATACATAAAGCCCTGTATCGTTAACCTTTACGGATTGTATCTCCAAAGTCCCATTGGGGAAGATGGTAATTAGGGAGTTGTTGATGTTTCCTGAGGTGAGATAGCCCTTTGGTGTTTGCCATGTGTACGCTAGCTCTGCGCTTTTTAAAGATGTCTGACAATCCAAGCTAATGGTGTCTTCTTCTGTGACCATAACCGTGGATAAATACACGGTGATAGGAAGCGAAACAGCCTTGTCTACAGTGCAGTTGTGGAAAAAACGCGTATGATGCAAGAACTTTATAGACGCCCGCATTTCCCCGTGGATCGAGCATCTGTGGTCATCGGCGAAATCTCCCAAAGTTTCGTAGTTTCGTAGCTGCCAGTGCCAAAACATACTGTACATAGCGCAATTGCAAACTAAAGTATTGTTGTGTAAATACAGACCTCTTTGGACCAAACTGGGTAAAGCCTTAATATCTGCCCAGGGCAAAGTGCTGAGACGGTTTGAGGAGAGGTCTAGCATGGTTAGAAAGGGGTGGGTGTGGTCTTGGATTGTGAAAAATGGGAAGTCCGTGAGCTGATTGAGGCTCAGATAGAGTTTCTTCAAGCTACTCAGACCATGCAGAATTCCCGGCTCAACTTGTGAAATTCTGTTGTTGTAAAGTAGAAGTTCCTCCAGTCGCCAAAGACCTCGGAAGTAGTGCTGTTCCACCACATGGAGCTTGTTCGAGGAGAGATCCAAGAATCGTAGACTGGTGGCGTTTTGGAAGACCCCGTCCCCCAGATTGACGAGCTGGTTGTCGGCAAGGCGAAGGTTTTCCAGTCTGGGCATCTTCTCGAAGCTGCCAGCTCCCAGATACGACAGGTAGTTGTGGCTTAGGTCCAGGGTGATGGAGAAGGAGGGTAAGGAGGTGGGGAGTTTGGTGAGACCAGTGGAGCTGCAGATAACGGCGTCGGATACACACAGGCACATGTTGGGGCAGGTCCCATCGCAGCAGCCGACGAGGCAGAGGAACAGCAGGAAGCGGTTCCCGATGGACATGTGGTCTGGCATGCTTACAAATTGTGCAGCCGTCCTTCTGTTTGAAAGATACAAAAAAGATAGACAGTTGTAAATTATGTTAAAACGAAGTGATGATATAATCTTTTGGTTCATATTGATATATTCAAGAAGCTCTCAGTCGTACAGGGATTATTCAGAAAGATGTTTTAGATAGAAACATAGACTTTCATTTATGGATTTTATCACCATTTATGGACATTGGTCATCTGCCCCTATGTGTTTTTTAATCATCGCATTCCTTGTGTTTGAACTTTTTGAGTCTCTGATCTGTGTTGGCGAATTCAAACGGTTTTGTATAGTCCTCCTGTTGTGATTTAGGGCTTTACAAAAATAAATTTAATTGAAATCTATTGATACCCAGTTGATGAAAATCAAATGTACTTCTATGGTCGCTGAGAAGATTGCTTCACAGGAAGAAGGCTTCTATCTCATGCCTTTTTGTGTGGAGTTTACATATATTTCTCCCGGGTGGGTTTCCTCCAAGGTGCATGTTTTCCCCACCACTCAAAACATGCACCTTGGATCAAGTCTCAGCTCGGACAGTTCTGAACAAGCTGAGCACCAACATCCCCCGACAAAATGTCCCAGTGGCAATGAAAAAGTGGGTTGAATGCAGAAGACAAATCTCCCAACACAGACAATAAAGGACAGCTTAACCTTTTAAGAAGTTCACTAACTGTTTACACGCACTGTACCGATGGTGAACTAAGTTTCCTGCAGGATTGTCTATTTTTTTTGTTTCGGGTCTGTATTGAATGTTTTATATCAGCAGTCTCCAACCTTTTTCAATCAGAGAGCTACTTTTACAGAACAGAAATGGCAGAGACGTATTCCCTTTTATTGTCATATTAAAAATGTAGTTTGTGCAATAAGACTTCACGCAATAACTAAAACTATAATATTGTACTCAAAATATATTGTACTCAAAATATACCAAACTATACCATTATTATGTATATAAATAGAAATAGTTTTAGTGAAAGTACAGTGTGGTTACCTTATGGCATTACATTGGAGAAAGACAAGAGTAATATTTGCAGAGAGGAGAGACCCAATGTAGGTCGTGGAGAGGTAAAAAGTCTGCAATTAAGGCTATATCCACACGAAGACAAAACGCTTATAATTTCAGAAACTTTTTCTGTAAACACGGAGTTAGCTCAGTAAATGTGTGCGTCCATATGAATGTAGTCAATACGCCTGAAAACGCTGTGAAACTATGCCAGACCTGTTGGTGGCGCTGTGACGCAATGACGGGATCAAGCCCAAACTTCCGTGGGCATGCGCGGAATTTTGTAAACAGACAACATGGCGAGTGTGGCGAGCTGGTACTACATTAGTATGGACGGACGATGAGGTTGAACTGTTGCTTCGGGTCACACTGGATTACAAAACCAACAAGCTACATTGTTGTTGTCATTATTTTCTGAGTGCGGCGCATGCGTGCTTAACAAGAGGCGGGGCGATGACGCAAGCGTCTCAGATACATTGCGGAGAGGCAGTAACCACGGAGCGGCATATACGGAGTTTTGAAATCTTTCCACTCTGGGACCTAGTTTCAAAAATGTTCGTTTACACCCCCCCAAAACGCTGGCCTCGTATGGACGATACACTGGATTGATAAAGTATTTTTGCGTTTAGGCCTGAGCTTGACTTCGTGTGGACAGGGCCTAAATCTTGCTATTGGCACTCATTTCAAGCAAATATAACCACAAACTGGTGGCAGACCCCTGCAGGAAAGTTGTGCGAAACATTTTTAACCCTTCAATGGTTCCTCAACCATTTTGGCGGATCACTTTTTGAGTCACTATATTTACTTGAAGCTTGGAACTGAAATCCATCTCATTTGGGCATCTGTCACTTTTGAGCACTTTAACCATCAAACTGCATCTCAAGCTTTTGGTTAATGCAGATGGATAAAAAACTAGGGGTGAAAAAAGATGTTTGTGATCCTACATCTTTGAAAATCAAAAAAAGTAAACATTTACATTGCTTTCCTCAAGGAGTGACCGTTAAAAGTTTAAACTTGTAGCTATTGCAGAGGCATATGCAGAAGAGCAGAGTGGCCAAAACTTACGGACACGTGTGAGACGACGTTCACTTTGTTGGTCCCATTTTTATTCCAGAAAACTGAAAAGTACGAAAATGCTGCCAGTCCAAGTCCAAACAACAGCTTAGCTTCAGCATGAGATTTCACACGCTCTGGATTGTGGGTTGGATCCTATTGATGAATGAACACAGCATTTCACTCTAATCCTGCGTGGTGTTTTTCCTCTATCTCCTTCCCAGAGCGATGGAGCCACAATGCGCTGCTTCTGGCGTTGTGGTGTTGTTGTTATTGTTGTTGTTGTGGGCCCAGTTTTAAGGTTTCCCTCTCTCCTCTTTCTTCTGCTCATCCCAGAAAAACTGCTGCAAAAACCTCCTGCTTTTGCGGTCTTTTTGCAAACAGCACACACTTTTAATCTCCCGCAATCCCCTCCTCCTTTTCCGTGTCATTTACGGACGAGCCGTGTGTCTCCCTCTCTCATCATTAAGTTATGCGCAGCCGAATCCGATAGCTTCACATCCTCGCAACGTTTGATCGCAGTATAATGCCCAGTGACTCTCTGAAGCAGGGGTGCCCAAACTTATTTTTTTCAATTGGTAGAAATGAATGTATGAATAGTGCATTTGCAAAGACAGACGAATGAAACCCAGAGGATAACTTATTATCCCCACCGCCTGAGGTTTTTCTGGATGAGTTTTAGGTATTGTACATTGTACATTTTAACAAATCTTTGCTAAAACATCTACAGGACCTTGTTTGTATTATGTTTTCAATATATTTGCATGTGTTTGTAACAACAAGGACACTGCATGATGCAAACACATTTTCCCTTGTTGGCCACTAAACCCTATATTTCTTGTAATTGCTATTAAATAGATATATAGATACTTTATTGATCCCTGTGGGAGAAATTCAGGTGTCCAGTAGCAGCAAAAATAAAAAATTAAATTGATCAATCTAAAAAGCTAACAATAATAATAATCAGCAACAGCCCTTCAGGTCGCAGCAGCAGAGTTGGAGTAGTCTCTGGGTGGAGCAGGACAGGTCAGAGCAGCAGAGGTGGAGTAGTCTCTGGGTGGAGCAGGACAGGTCAGAGCAGCAGAGGTGGAGTAGTCTCTGGGTGGAGCAGGACAGGTCAGAGCAGCAGAGGTGGAGTAGTCTCTGGGTGGAGCAGGACGGGTCACAGCAGTAGAGATGGTGTAGCCACTGGGTGGAGTAGCCGCTTGGTTTGGACCATTTTCTCTGCTCTAGTCCAAAGTAAAATGCTGAATGCTTCATTAGCATTTTTCAAAAAGTTAGCATTCCTCCAGTGGATTTTCACCTGATCCACTTGGTTTGGACCATGAATCCTCTCTGCTCAGTTCTGGACCAGTGCAAATCCACTAACACTGCACTGCAGCAACATCCCAGGCAGAAAAAAGCAATAAAAATAAAAATTGTAAAGCAACAAAACTAGAACTGTTTCAGAGCAACTCAGGACTTGCAGCCGTTTTCCAGCGCGTTCAATAGTGCAGTTATTAGCAAGCGCAGTCATTAGCAAGTAGAAATGAAGTAGTTTGTATCTCTGTTTTAATATTGCAGTTACAGATTGTCACAAATTTCAAAAAGTAAAGCTGTAATATCCCACATTCGGTGCATGAGAGGCAACAAGTATCTGTTCATGTTGACAAGTTTGAGTTTGACGAGGGACACAGTGTGAAGCCTCAGCATCTGTGAAGCTGCAGCTCTTCTGGGATCCAGACTGATGTGAGGGCTGCTTAGTGCTTCTGCTGCTGTTACTGCTGCTGTTACTGCTGTTACTGCTGCTGCTGTTGCTGCTGCTGCTGCTGCTGCTGCTGCTGCTGCTGCTGTTACTGCTGTTACTACTGCTGCTGCTGCTGCTGCTGCTGCTGCTGCTGCTGTTACTGCTGTTACTGCTGCTGCTGCTGCTGCTGCTGTTACTGCTGTTACTGCTGCTACTGTTGCTGCTGCTGCTGAGAGGAGGCTGCTCTGTCTGAGGACACAGGCCGCTCTCTCAAATTACTCTGGCAGATAATTCATTTAGCCGAGTGCATTGCAGTCTTCAGCCATTAGGTTTCTTTATGCAGTGATCTTCAAATGTTTAGTTTCCTTTACTATTCACACGTTATAGACACATTATTGTAATCGCTTTATATGATGGGGTAAACATTCTATCAAAAACAACATAGCTTACACAATCAAACAGTTGTTATTAAATAAATCCCCCTTGCCGCCAGCTACATGCTTCTGTCTTGAAAATCACTTACTTGCAGAAAAAATTATTTACTTCTAGTTTTTTAACTTTGACAAAAAAGAAGGCAAGATGAAGCTTCCTAAATTAGCTAATAAATTAATGTACCTTATTTAACCAGGGAAGTCCCACTGAGATTTTGAAATCTTTTTCAGGCGAGTCCAAGCCCCAGAATTGGGTTGGGGAGGGTGTTTTGGGGGACTAGTTTATGTTTATGTAATGTTTTAGTGGTAGGGGAAACCGGAGCGCCCGAAGAAATGTATGCAAGCAGAGGGAGAACATGCAAACTCCACACAGAAAAGTTGATAGTTAATCAATCATATGAAAAAATCATTCAAAAAGGTAAGATTTTTTTCTTGAGTTAAAATATTTGTTGTGATTCTATTGAAAGACAAGTTAGATGTTTGTTAACATGTTTCAATAAATGAATAAAATTAAAAACATGTAAAAAAGAATTGTCAATCACAGCCCTAATTTTATTGCAACTGCCCAATGTCTGAACTCTTTTCAGTCTATTTAATAAATCTGTTCAGAAGTCTGTGGGTTCTTTCGGGATAATGTTCGGGTAAGTCTTGCGGATTCAATCTTGTGTTCCATCTCGTTTGCGCAAAAGTCTGTCCGGTCCCATCCCCGCCATTATCTGTGATTGCTTAGATCCAACGGCCCAACTTCCTTAAACCTGAGGTATTGAGGCCA